GCGTTGCTATTCTACAGCAGTAAAGTCCACGTAGCGTGCTTTAACGTGCGTAATTGCACGTTTTCGGCATTACCCCAGCCAGCCATACTTTCATTTGCAGGCCCATAACTTTTCAACGTGCCGTATAAATTTCAAATAGGCAGCACACTTATGCAAAGACATGCTGAAGATTACTTGACCGAATTGGCCAGACAAACGGTAGGATAATGAGTAAGAAATGCAGCTTCAAAGGCGCATGTAGTACAAGGAACGCGTACCTTGAAAACGCTCTTGGCGCCCTCACAGCCGAAGTATTCCGAATGACGACTCGTAACAAACATGCGATAATTGTAGTCACTTAAGCCTCAGAGCATCACTGACAGGTGGCATCCATGTCTTACGGTTTTCGAAATATCTCGAATTTCGGCTTTGCCCCAACTCCGGCATTGCCCCAACTTCCCCTATACAGCACGAGCCATGCAGCATATGACATAGTTACGTGATAGAGGGTAACATATTTGTCAGGCATAAACGGTGAATAACCACGTTTATGTTAGAGAAACGACTCAAAGAGGCATCATGTACGTTCATGATTTATCTGTTTGTCCGCATAGGAGGGCTTTCACTTACAGTAATCTGTGTTGTTATTTTGGCGTACCAGCCGCCGCTCCTCCCATTCTCGACAATCACGGTTCGACCTGTTGCCCAAGTAACAATGACGTCATCGGTTACTTACGACCGCGAGTTGGCACGATGCCAAATGACCGACGGGCCGGCCGGAGCGCGGCTAGTGGGTCTGCCTCGGGCGTAATTAAAACGGCCCTCGGCTGACCACTTGGCCTTCCGTGCCCAGGTGGCTGTCCCTAATGAGGTTTCATGACAAGGCAGCCACGCAAACGAAGCAAGGCCGTGGTCATTTATTGATGGAACCGAAGAGGCATTGTTGTTTACCGCGAAGACGCATTTCTTCGTTGCAGCGGTGTATCAAAGATATCTTGTTCGCTGCGACTCAGCTCGAGTCAGCGCCGAGGCTGATGGGAGCGAGCAGCTGCTGACGACATTGGTATAAATATAGAAATACTTGGAATAATTATCCAGACCGCGATCTAAATTTAATCCAGAGAGCCAAAGTTGTTAAACGACTGCCCCAGGCAGCACTGTCGGCGGCCGCGGAGCCTGCGTGGGCGGCACTGTTGGGGAGTGTGAGAGATGCGCACCCACTGGGGGAGGGGGGGGGGGTGTCGAGGGAGGGGCGTTGTCGCCCGACCGGCCGCTGGCACTGGCCACCACAGCGGCGCTTCTGTTTGGCAGCGTCTCGTGGCTGGGCAGCCAGAAATCTATCGGTGCGGGGAGCCATGGGGCGAGGACGGCCCCCACCCCAAGCTGGGCTGCCGGCGACCCGGCTCAGCCTCCTGCGGCCTGGGTCAGGTCAGGTCAGACTGGGATGGTGGAGCGCTGAGGCCAGGTCAGTTGGCCGGGGCCGGGAGAACCAGATCGATGCCACGGTCGCGTCAGGTTAGGTCAGGTCAAGTTCAAGTTCATTTATTCACGTTAATCCGCCTTCGCGGCTTTTCATCAACGCATGTCAATTAGCATAAAAACAAGTAGGCATGGGTAAAATACAGGCACACGATCATTCGTACACATCGTTAGAACAGTTGGTATGTAGGTTGTGGGTATCATAAGATCACGATGACTGTTTGTGTAGCACAAAGTTCTGAGTGCTCGCTTTAAAAGAAGTACTGCCATCGTAAGAAGCGCAAAACTGGTTGTACGCCTCTTCGCCCCCGATGTGGGCCGGCTCTCCGTGATAAATACGGCGCCAGCCCAGGTCATGTCATCCTGACTTGAGACACGCGATACTATGACCCAGGCCAGGTCGACTCAGTCCGTCCCCATGGCAGTTCCTGCCCCCCCCCCCCCCCGTCCGGGCTCAGGTTGTGCACGGATGACCAGACAGGATTCAATGTCATGTAAGTTGCTGAATCTACGAGTAGTATTGATCAGTGCTTGGGAGCATACTCGAAAGTAGCCGGATGATGCATGAGCTCCACACGGCCGTTCTTTGCGCTGTCTTGAACTATGGGCATGATTGAGCTCCCGTTCAATGCGGAGCTTCTGGGGCCCTGTTCTTACCAACATGGTTATTATGTTGGGATAAACAAATTAATTTGTTTGATATGCAAATGAGGAATAACATATTTTTTAACCTGTTCTTAAAAATTGATATCGACGGGTGTCTGTCGTCTCCCAAACCGGTGTCAATGACAGAGAGTGGGGATCTGACAGCCAAATGTCGGAAACGAAGACGCAAGCACGCGAGACTGAGGGGAAATTAGTGCCAGAAAACGTGGCGCCTTGTCGGGGTGTCGTGCCACGCGGTCGCCACCGCTAGGACATGACACGCCCAATCTATCGCGATATGACACCCGGCTGGACAGGTGACAGTGCCCCCAGCGTGTGACACTGACATCTAGACGTCGAATCGGTACGATAAGGTTATGGTGCCGGTGTAAATCTAAGGTGATAGATGGTGATAGCGTCATCAGTTGGGGGGTTTAGATATTCCTACGATAATGGAAATGGATACGGATTGAAATCATGCACAATCAATGGATATGATTGTACATTAGAATTGCCTAATGCTTCCATCAGAATTGTCACTTGTCTATTTGTCAGAGAACCAGCCCTAAGCAGCGAGGCAGACAATCCAAACCACTGACGATAATTTCCATTATATTCCATATTTTCATCGGGCGTGTTTTACTAATACTAATAGCCATACCAGAATGTTCGAACGGTTATTCAGCTAGACAGTCCAGCCATTTGGTCGGGTTTTCAGGGAGATTGCTCTTTCCACGTCATTATTTCAGAAATGTCGCAGAAGCCATTCAGCTGACAAATCAAACGCCGCGGGGAGACTGCTTCGCTTCCGAATCATAAAAGCTCAAGTGGAGAGTCCTACCACGACGCTGGTAATATAACGTTCAAATGCACTACGAATACTACCTACGCCAGGAGTAGTGGTCCAGCTCTTCTGAAATATTCCACCGTTCATCTCAGTTGCCGAGCCGTGTGTGGGGTCGCAGGGGGAAGGCTGTCCGGTGGGGGGGGGGGGGGGCGGGCCGGCCGTCCGCCTTTTATAGCTCGCCTGCTCAGCGCTACTGGCGGCTGGCGGCGGAAGGGTCTGGCGGCACCAGTCACCGCCTGACCAGCGAGGAAGGCCCACTCATTTCGGACACAACCCCACCAGTCGCGCCTTAGCTAGCCGCCAGCGCTCATTTGACTGCCCATTGTGAGCGCCGACCCAACGGCCAATTCCAGCATCGTAACAGACGCGATGGCATGGTGAGAAAAGTCAGAACCGACGTAGCAATTAATTTGAAATAATCACAAGGGGAGGGATATTCGAGTGAATAGCTAACTGAACTGACTGAAGTTTTCGAATTGTGTTTACTTCACTGATATCTAAATCTATGCGTTAATGGCACTAATTTGTCATTTATTTATTTATTTGTTTTTGCAATAACATTTACCAAACTCAGTCTAATGTACACATATCCTCATAGGATTTGCTAGTTGAAGCTTTTCATTAGAAATGTGTTGTGTAATTGCTAGTAGCCTTTTAATGGCATTCGGGATGATCTGTCACCGGGAATCCCTGACGAGCCCTGAACATCACCCATAACGTGCATAAAAATGATTTGCATCCCCAGATTTAGCCAACAACACGCGGTGAAATGGTAAAACCGGGGGCTTCATGTCGTGCCGGCAGTGGCCCCGGTCGACCGCTATTCTCGGCTCGGGTGACCTTTTGACCTTCCGAGGCAACCTTTTGATTCGGACCGGCCGGCCGGACCAAGCCTTCGGATCCAGATGGCCACGAGTAGTGAGTTCGGCGGCTTACACACGGCGACGACAGGGCGGGGTGGTTCAGACTTCAGAGCAGAGACTGTTAGGTGCAGAGGGATGCTGGTCCGTAAGAGAAAAGTATTTCAAAACGGACCGCCATTTTGTTCCGATGATGATATTAGTCAAAGCGAGAGGAGAGTTGTGTTGACTCACGGTGGAGAGTTCATTCATGAGTGCAATCGACATGAGAGCAAGTGGGTGTTGCAGAAATCGACTCACGGTGACGACAGTAGCAATCCTGGACCAGTGACTAAATCGCTTTTATATGAAGAGTGTTAACTTCTTAGCATAAAAGTAAGCATTAAAATGCTCCAGCCAGAACTGAACCCGAAGACACCAGCGGCCTTCACCATTACTTCTCATCGCCACCAAACGCCTGCCAAAATAAGCAATAAGCTTGCGATTATTAAGCACTAAGCAGTGTCTGTTAAGTTCCTGTCCGAAAGTGTTTGCATGCATGAGGAAATACATCGACACGAAATGTCAGCGTCCCTTTACTATCAGTATGTCAATATCAGGAACATACATTTAGATCGCTGGTTCAAGAATCGCTTACCTACGACCTTTGCTCCGTGTTCTCGGAATATCAAAGATCGGAAGCCGAGGCCAAAAGCAGTCCATTTGTTGTTCCGGTTATAGAACGACGCTAATGTAAACAAATAAGACACAAAAAAGGCATCCACCATTGTCTCGTATTGTCAGTGGCGCCGCCACTCATCCCTACTGCGTCAGATGGTAGGTATATGAACGATGCAGTCTGCACGTTTGATTGCCTTGCCATATAGTAAATATTCTAAGATATCAAAGATCATTCCAGCTTAGCCCAATATGTATGAATGTGTTGAGAGATAATGTGTTCAAGCAGTATTTTTCATCTCTCTCTCTCTATCTCTCCTCTCTTCTCTCTCTCTCCTCTCTCTCTCTCTCTCCTCTCTCTCTCCTCTCTCTCTCTCTCTCTCTCTCTCTCTCTCTCTCTCCTCTCTCTCTCTCTCTCTCTCCTCTTCTTATCTCTCTCTCGTCTCTCTTCTCCTCCTCGCTCTCTCTCTCTCTCTCTCTCTCTCTCTTTCTCTCTATCTCTCTCTCTCTCTCCCTCTCTCTCTCTCTCTCTCTCATTCACTCACCGAGGCCAGTTTGTGCAGTCTGACCTCCTCCTGGATGTTGTTGAAGGGCGACTCCAGGACCAGCGCCGTCGGACGGTCACCCTCCAGACACAGGTCAGCCACCATGTGGGAGGTCACACTGCGAAAACAGGAGCCATTGTGGGGTCACACTGTGATAGAGCGCCATTATGTGAGGTCACACTGTAATAGGAAGGCATGACACTGCAACAAAGACCTGAACAATGTGTGAGGTCAAACAGTAGGGTAGGGTGGGATAATTTGAACATGTGGGGCAATTTGAACATAGTGTGAATAACAGAAAATCACGGAAAATCCATAAGTGGCATGACAATAAGACCAATGAGAGAAATTATCGTAACTAAAAGGGCTATCATATGAACGGGGTTTGAAGTTTCAGGGAATGAAGATGTTGACGCACAGTGTAAAAAATCAATTTCGCAAGGAAAAACGCCTAACAACACGTCATTGCAACTTCATTGCAGCGCAAAATCTTGCATTGCTAGCGCCTAATACGCAACGGCTTTTGTTGTATAATGACCTAATCAGTGCCTTCAATCCAAGAAATTTGGCTTTTGAACCCTGTTTTTAAAAATGGCAAAATATCTTTTAGCGTAGGGTAATTTGAACATAGTGTGAGAATTTGAATGAAGACAGGGATAGCTCCGAAAAAACAACGCTCCCAGTTTTTTTTTTTGCCAATATTTTCGACCCAAGGCAGTAGCAGATAAGTGATGCCAGTTTAGAAAATTTACGTCTAATATCCGTCTAATGTCCGGCATTTTTGTTGATTTTCCGTCCAAAAATGTTAAAGTCAACTATTTGTCCAAATATGTCCGAAAATTATGCAGCTATCAACACTCAAAACCGTCATTTATATTGCTTATCATGTAATTTTACCAGCCGAAAAGTGTTCATTATATTGAGAGCTTAACAAGCTGTCCATTCGCCATTCAATGCTATGCACGATTACTTTATAAAAAGCGCTGAAGTGTAGCAAGCCATCGTCCAATGTTGTCCAGTCTGCTACCTTTGTCCAACCAATTCCGAATTGGACATTGGACAAAATCAGAACTACAAATGTCCAGGTTTCCATTGGCACCACTTTAACAAATGTAGTACGGTTGGGAGAGTTTTTATCGAACAAAAATGATAGACGTTCTGTTAATTGAAGAGGGGCGAATTCTGTCAACTGACCGGTGTGCAGCGTGCAGATATTGATACTCTGCAACTGTTATTTTTGCTGTTGTGTTGATTTTTCAAGTGAAGGTATGTTTAGAATTGTTCTGCCTATTTGTTTATGGGTCAAACAACATCGGTGCTGGCGAGACTATCGTTTGTATGACAGGTAAAGGCAGTATGTTCAAATTACCCCACGGTGGGGCAATTTGAACACACCATGACTTGGTGGAGAAGTGAGGCTATGCTATTCAAGGTATGCTCGGCTCGTCCAAAAATGAGGCTTGCATGGTGAAAGCAAGTGACACTTGTGCTACTGAAGCAGTTTTTCTTCATCCAGGGTTGAACTGGAATTTGGTACAACGGAGAAGACGTAAAAATATGTTCAAATTACCCCACACTACCCTATAAATATAAGTCATGTGTGAGAGCTAGTGATGTCAATTACGGAAAATCGTGATACCGAAACCGAACCGACTTGTTAATATGAGGGAAATACGTCCAACTTTTACCAAATTATCAGCCTCTTTTACATTAGAGAGGATTCATAAAACCAACAAAATACCAAATGCGTTCGCCTTGAAATACCAAATACCAAGTTGGTATCGGTTTGGTATCGGTATACCAAGAAGTTGGTATTGGTATGGTTGGAAGTTGACATCTCTAGTGAGAGCACACTGTCAAGCGTGAAAGAAATGGATCATCATGTGATCTAACAGTGGTCAAAAGATGGTAGGTCAGTCTTGAGGTCACACTGTAAAATAATAGCCCGCGTGTTGGTCATGAAGTTACGCTGCAAAGGAGACGTTGCCTCCTAACCTTCCCCCCAAAACATAATTTACCATGATAAACATAATTTGTATTCAATTAAGTGTTTTTATGTGTTGTATGACATGCATGCGCTCACACACCTCCCATCCCTTCCACTAACCCGGTGCCAAGTGAGTGTCCCCACACGATGATGGGCGAGCGGCCGGCACGCTGTCGCAGCCACTTGTACATGAACCTGCTGTCCGAGACGACGCCCGTTTCACTAGGTATCACCTGGGACGAGTCGGCGTAGCCTGAAGGGAGGGGGGGAGGTTAGACTGAGGGGGGACCCCCCTCTCACTGGGTATCACCTGGGACGAGTCGGCGTAGCCTGGGAACAGGGGGGGGGGGTAGACTGAGGGGGGACCCTCGTCTCACTAGGTATCACCTGGGACGAGTCGGCGTAGCCTGGGGACGGGGGGGGGGACGGGGGCGGTTAGACTGAGGGATGACCCCCGTCTCACTGGGTATCACCTGGGACGAGTCGGCGTAGCCTGGGGGACAGAAAGAGGGACAGAGGGACGATACATGGACGGTGAGAGGGGATGGAGGTTAAGGAAGGACTGATAACCAATACAGGAAAGAAACAAGTACCGTCATGGGGTCTGAAAGAGGCGGTCAGGGGGTGGACGGCGTGGGTAGGTCAGGGCATGGAGGAATGCCACGGAAGGGATGAGGGCGGTCAGAAAAAAACGATACCAATCTAGAATATCACAGCATAACGCTATCTCTCCCCCTTCTCCCTTCCTCCATAATTCCCGTACCGTCGCCGCCCCCCCCCCCTCCTGACCTCCCTATTGCCTCCATCCTTCTTCCTATCCCTCTTCCCATCCCTCCCTTCATCACTCTTCCCCTCTCCCTCCCTCCTCCCCATCATCTTACTGCGATAGTCGAAGCAGACCACGTGGTATCCGATCTTGCGCAGCACCTTGTACAGCTCGACGCGGTGTGGTCCGGCGCGGGAGCCCGAGTTGCCGTGGTTATAGAAGATGATGGGCGCCCCGGAGGACAGACGCGACTCGAAGACCGTGCTGTCCGGCTCCCCGTCTCCGTTAGACACGCGGTCGATCTCCTGCTCGGGCAAAATGTGCCTGAGGGGAAGGGAAAGGAGAGAGATGCGTCAATTAGGTGTTGACCTAGCAGGTAAATTCGCCAGCACCTCGATCAATATATACCGTATTTAGCGTTTCAGTTCCGACCTTGAATATAATTCGGCATTAGTTACATGTATCAGAATTGCACTCTCATTAAGCGGCGCCTGTGTTGTGGACAACACATGCAGCTTAGCACCTATATCAAAAGGCCACTAAAACCAACAGCTCCTATACCGATGCCTTAACGACCCCAGTCATGCGCTCAACCCACCTAGCCACACCTTGCGATCGATACAGCATATCGATCTGACCCGTCAGAGGGTGGACCGACGGCCGCAGTCTACGGTTTGACGACCCCAGACAGACCCAGCTCAGTGCAACGGCCGGGCCGGAATCGGCATAAGGTGGACTGTGGCGCTCTACCTAAGTTCGGGAGTTTGATGTGATAGCTCCTGATCGGGGCCGGTATCTGCTTAGTAGGTTGGTGAGCTGAAACAGCCAGAATTCTGAGGGAGTTTCTAAGGGCAATGGCTAGGAAAAGGAGTGGAATTTCGATATATTTCGTTGTCGCGTTGGTCGGGGTGTCTTTTCGAAGTGAACGTCCATTCGCATAGCTTTTTCACCACTACCCAGAGCGCAGAACGAAAACGTACCGCGGTCGGTAGGACTCGAACCTACGCTCCCAGAGGGAATCTGATTTCTAGTCAGACGCCTTAACCACTCGGCCACGACCGCTCGGTACCTGACAGCTCGCAAAACAAGTATAAAATGGAAAGGTGCGCGATAATCCGCTCTTTGGTGAGTCACCCTGTCGGAAGGTGATATCTAATGGCACAAGAGGCGTCACCATTTATCTTTTCAATTCACCCTCATTCAGCAGACGGTTTGTTTGTAGTCAGACGACTCAACTCAACCACCGGATGTGTCAGATGTTTTGTGGTATTTCAGGCATATGCCCAAAGGCCAAAGCAAAGCTGATAAATAGGTATGCATTGAAAGCTTACTGAAGTAAGCAATAAGCATTCCTTCATACTTGAACATATTCCGGAAGTATCAGATTACAGTGAATGAAAGCTCACTGCACGACAAGATCTGCTTTCTGTTTTGTCACCTGTACCCAGTACCCCTACACATTCACACCTCTTCACCTCGCTTCCCCACTTCAGAGCATGTGGCAGGATGAGTCACCCCCCCCCCTTGGCCCCGTGCAGTCTCGTGACCATACACCGTGACGGTGCGGCCCGTCCGTCACCGCACGTGACGCGTGACTCACCAGACGCCCAGGCGCACGCCATCCGAGGTCGTGACGTAAAAGTTGCGCGCCGCCCGCAGGCCCGACAGCTCCGGCTGGGTGAAACTGATGCCCCGCGGCCATCGCACTGTGGATAGGGGGGCGGGGTGAGAGGGGAGGGTTAATGGCATACGGTATAGCGGTGTCATGGGACATAGGGGGTCTACGGACTGTCACTGGGTCAGACTGGTGTTTGATTAATCTGTGATTGAATCGATTGGATTGAATCAAACAAAATTTGTTGAATCAAAAAGGTTTGATTCACCGTCAGGATTGTTAGATTCACAAGCCATGATTGAATCAAACGCATTGGGAATCAGGGTTGATTGAATCAAAAAATTAATGATTCATGAACTTTAAAAAAATTGAAGTGAACGAACATAGTTCATTATCAACAAATATTAACACTACTGCCATTACATGACAACAAAAAGAACACAACAAATACAATACTATCCATGATATTTTGTATATTTTATTTTTTAATTGAATAAAAAAAAATCATTCAAAAAAAATTGGCTGAATCAAACGTGAATCATTCCTTTTATTGTTTTTTGATTCTCTGAATCAAAAGGAATCGATTCAACAATTTTTTTGAATGAATCAAACGGTGATTGAATCAAACAAAAATCAAATGAATCAATGATTGAATCGATCCAAAAAAGGTGAATCAAAAACCAGTCTGCACTGGGTCACAGAGACTGCACCAAGGTCACCTGTATCAGCGTTGTGAGCAGTTGTGATTGCAGGAAACGCATTGAAAATGATACCGCGTTATATTCTGGATGCAAAGGTCAACAGTTGCTTTCTACCTGTTGAAGGCCAGCCTCATCGTATCAGAAGACCTGTACCAAGTTCTATTTCTAATTAAGGCATGTGGTCGCCAAGACAGAGGAGCCACGTCGTGTACCTTGTTAGTTGAATTGAGCAAACTGCAATTCATCACTTTCAGTAAACAATTTGACATCATAAGCGTTCCCCCGATTCTGCTCGACCGCAGCAGTTCGAGAGATACGTCACTCGTTCAGTCCACTGCCCTCTGACCTACAAACTGACCATCTGATACAACTGAGTCACTGACTGCTATTCACGGCACAGTGGCCGCAGTCCGGACGCGTCTGACGCCGTCTGCTCTCAGTCACATGACTCACTGCACCCCGCCGCGATCAATACCCACACCATGACACGGCGCAGGGGTCGAGCGGTTGGTTAAAGCGGACCCGAGGGTGCATGCCTGTGGCATGAAATTACCTTAATATTGCCGTGTGTATGCCAGGATCAAAGATGCATAATGCAGACAACAATGTACCCACACGGTCAGCTGTTGCATTAGGAAGAAGGCATCGCACGGTAGCATCTGATATGATAAAACTTAATTCAGTCCAACAACCCAGCTCCTATATCCTATATGGGCTCCACGAGCCAATGGTGTTAACCCGCGCCCGGCTGGGGGTCCTGGATTTCCACGCCCTGCTGGGGGGGGGGGGGTGTTTGAACACCCCCCCTTGTAACTCGGCTCCTGGGCCACGTAGCGATACGCGGAAAGGGGCGTTCGAAAGAGCGTCAAAAATAATGACGAAATCACTTCGGTCAATTTTTTGGTCAGGTCAAAGGTCAGGTCACCAGAGGTCATTGAAGGCAAAATTTCGCCGATTTCCAGGTCGAATGTCGAAAATTTCCAAGAAGCCAACGCATAACTCGAGAACCAATAGAGCTACAGCGCCGCGGAAAAACGCATTCGATAGCCCTATTAAAGCCCTTTCTGAATAATTCTCTCAGATTTGACCTAACGTCAACGGTTTTGCCTGCAGGGGGCAAAAACTGCAAAAATAGCCGATTTTTTCGGAAACAGTTTTTCTGCAATAACTTTTGACCCAAGCCCTGTACGAGCCTAATTTTACCGGCATTGTGTTCCTCTCGTCAAGACGCATCGAATGAACTATAAGTTGACCTTGAAAGGTCAACTTGAAAATTTGACCTTAGGTCAAGGTCATGACCTGACCGGAAAGGGTCATGTTGCATATCAGTCGATCCGTATGGTCGAGCTAAACACATCTAAGGCGTTTTCATCGCTCTAGCATGCCTCTATCAAAAGTTATTTGCGAAAAACTGTTAGATACCATTCGTGACCTAAGATGACCTCAGGGCATAAACAAGGGTCACGGACACCATTTTCATGTTCAGTGTGTCTAAACCACTTGTAGTTCGGTGTTTGGGAGTGTTTATAATGTCTTTTGTCCAAAAGAGGCGCATTTCAATTTTCTCCCATTGACTTATAATGGGGAGGTCGCAAAATTGACCTGACCTTAGGTCATCGATATCAAAATTCTGAGATATACATTTTGTACATGCTATTGCTCTCAGCAATCGCTGAAAGTTTCAAAGCGATCAGTCACTCGGTGTAGCTCTGACAGACATTGAAACTTTTTATGAGGTGAGGTCACTTCAAGTGACCTGGTGACCTGACCTTGAATGACCTTGGTCTGAAATTTTCACAACATGTGTAGAATTGATGTATGATAAGGTGTACCAAAAACGGCGGCGCGGAGCGCCGCCGTTTTTGAGATATTCGCGAAAAACCACAAGGGGGGGTGTTCAAACACCCCCCCAGCAGGGCGCGGGTTAACAAGATAAGGAAGTGTGTTACTGTTTATAAATTGAGCCTAAACGCTTCCAAAACAGCCCCGGCCCGGTGTATTTGTTTATGGACAATCCCAAACACAACTGTTATCCCTCTGAGGTCAAACAAGGATAGCCTGAGCCTGAGCTGAGTACTCGGATCCCGTTCAGAACAAACGATTGCCTGCAAACGTTGACACAAAAGTAAATAAAAGATAACCATTTGATACTTATGGTGTGACAGCGCGAGTCTGGTTCAGCTTGTTGCTCATTCACATTACCGGAAGCAAGGGTCGTGCTAGGACATTTGTTAGCGACCTTCCACGCTGCTTTACACGCTACCAGCGCTAAAGGATGACAGCAAGATCCCCTCTCAATGCCCTTTCACTCCCAGAAGGGGATGAAGATCCCCTTTCCTTACGTGCTATCCCCAGAGCGCAGGAAAGCTGTTTCTCACCCAGGACCACTTACACATAAGGTCAGGAAGGGCCAATTGGAGACAAAGACCCCTCTACGCTAGTACTACTTACAGAGAGGCAATCAGACCCACTTCCTGGCAGGAAAGACACCTCTCCTTGAGTTCCACTCAAGGAAAGGCAGGACGAGCCCTCCTATCAACCATTACTACTCACAGAAGGGCAGGAAGACCAGGTGGCGCGGAACGGTCGGACAAAAGTGGTAGATGAGCGGCACTGCGATGTAAAACACCAGTATGATGCCCAGGCTGAGCTTCAGCAGCGAGAGCCATGTCCTGCCGGGGTCATACGCAGGTCAGACAGAGTCCACATGGGGTCAGAGAGGCGACGGGGTCACACACGCAGGTCAGAGGTTCACATCGGGTCAGAAAGAGGTCAGTTCGAGTGGGACAGGGTTCACAAAGGGTCAATTATGCAGAGGTTATGTGGGACAGAAGAGTTCAAATGTGGATTGGCGAAATCGACGCGAGCAAATGAGATGACTCGCAAAACGAAATCAGGGCAAAAAGGAAATTTCAATTTACGTATATCGCTAACGGCGAACAGCCTGAGCATTGGGCACCCACCCAGACAGTTAGTTCCCCCAGCAGCGTGCTGTCACGAGCACAGCGTACCGAACATGGACGCGGAAATGTGTGATAACAGGCACTGGAGAGGAAATGGCGGTAAAAAGGCTGAAACAAGCCACAGAGATCGAGCAGCAAAGCAGGAACGGAGCAGGAAATTAACGGTACACACTACATGCACTGAGAGCCAGCACCAATAAAGAAGCCAGTCAGCTGGTGGGGTTAGGCAAATAATAAAGCCCTACCGTCAAAAATGTCCCAGAGACGTCTACGATAGTATGTAGTCATAGCGATGATTTCAATATCATTTGTCTTGCACGAAATAATTTCGACTTTGCAAACACCATAGCTAGTAGCTACATACTAATCCACTATCCACTAGCAACAACTGCAACAACAGCCCACCGTCAGCATAGCCACAGCCATCCCCAGACGTCACCACACCCCGTCCGGCACCAGTCCCTTATCCCACGGCTACTTACACGCCATACACCAGATGAATCAGCACCAGTATGATCAGGTACACCGCACGCTTTATCATGGTGTTCGCTCACAGTAACCGCCTGTCTGACTTGTTTGAAAGAGCCTGTCTGGAAAGAAGAGACAGAGTCAGCCGGGCCCCGTCGCTGCCCGAGCGTACGAAAACAAGGACTGCTGGCCACCGACTGACGCAGCCGTCGGGCGTCGACCCCCCCCCCCCCCGCAGGAAGGGAGGAGGAGCTACGCCGGTTGCGGCCAACAGCCTCACTACTCGGAACTGTACGGTACAGCCACACTTCACAGCTGGGTCGAGCGACCATCGGGGGTCCGAAACATGTGGCATTGAGCGGAAGACGGCAATTGAGCGAAAGAGCAAAAAGCACAAAGAAAAGGCACCCGACTGACTGGCTGGATTAGACAGTCGTCTGATGATTGTAGGACGGTGTCGCCTCGAACTTGGAGCGAATCAACTCGGCAATAGAAGTGGTATCATTTCTGCCTTCCATATGTATCTCATGTACTATAAACATTGCATGCTCGAGTAAATATTTGTCATGAGTCAATCAGTGAAAGACATGACAAATTAACTCTTCTGCCAATATGAATAAGCTGTGACAGCTCTAACGGGGTCTAGCAGAAAAAATGAGGTCGAGATGGATAACCTTTCCGTTTCCTCGGTGACCATCCTTAGTACCTACATCACTCGGTCCACTCCCAATCAAACTGCAAGCTGCATCCTCTCACATGAGTAACACGTAACACTATGTACCTTGTTCAGTCAGGCGGTCACCCCTACCAGACAACCAGTGGTTATGACAAGCCCTCGTTTGGACTATGCCCTCTCCAGGAAGACCGTTTGAGCGAGAGAGCGGGCTGTCAAAACGGGGCTCTCCCGTGCTCCCGTGCCCCGTCCCCCCGGCCCGAGCGGTCCTCCGCCACTGCGGTGCACCATCTCGGTGTTCCGCACAGTCCAACCTCTCCACACCATGTTATCAACCCATAGCTCTGTAACAGCCTTCACAGGCCGAAAGGACTTGCTTCTGACAAAACAAACCAACCTCGGTAGATTCAGTTGGGTGGTTGGCTGTATCGGCTGTTAAAGTAATGTTTGTGGTGTGTGTCTGTCTCAGCAATGTGCAAAATTCACAAAATTCATATGATGACTTTGGGGTGCATTTTGGTCAAAAAGGTGCAGCACTTCCCTTACATTTTATGTAGAGGAAAGAAAGAATGATTGTCTCATTTTGTAGAACTAAAGGAACAAGTAACAAAACTATTGTTGGAAACGGTGCTTGCCTAAAATAAATCATACTGGTCACGTTGAGCTTTGATAGGCTTATCTCTAGCATTAGAACTATCCTGATCAGGTATCCAGAACTGTCCAGTGTCCACTGCCCCATTACAAAATCGAGTTGTAAATATTGGAGCTTGTGCAACAAGTTAACCTGCGCCTAAGAGGGCTAGGAGGGCTAGGAGAGACGCGGTAAAAATCAGTTGATAGCTCTCAATGCGTACGTTTGAAAGCATTTCGGTCATTTTTCATCTTAGACCAATATTGGGGTCACCAGAGGTCATCAAAGGTCAAAATTTGCCAAATGTCATTATATTTGTCAGAAAACATGCCGTTATCTCAGGAACTATGATAGCTAGAAAAACACATGGAAAACAATCGATAGCTTTTGAACTCTTCTTTTGATAAGGTCATCATCAAAATTGATCTCAGGTCAACGGTTAAGCCTCCATAGGTCAAATATTGTCAAAATAGCTGTTTTTGGATAAAGGTTTTTTTCATGAATAACTTTTGAACCAGCATCAGGCATCGGAAAAATCCTTTTTGAAAGGATTGCATTCCCAATCCACATTCCAAGTGCCGAAGTGGATTGCATTCCTACCCGCAATCCCCTTTTTTCACTTGGATTGTGATCAAATCCGCAATCCTTTTTTGCAATCCTGTTGTATTATATGTGCACTAGTGGATCTGGGGGAGGGAGGGGGGCATAGGGCCGTGCCTCCATCCCCAAATCTCCCATTTCTAGTACCTAGTCTTGCGAGTAATTCCTATCTAAGGCACAGGTATTTTATGGGAAATATTTTTTTGCCTCAAACACCCCCACATTTAAACCTTTACCCAACCAGTGTTTTATATTTTTGAAACTCGCCCTCAAATACATTATTTTGCCCTTCCTATAATACTAACGTATCTAGGAAGGGCAAAATAACGTATCTATATAATACGTTCATCAGCGTATATTATTTTGAGCGTTTAAATTAAAAGCGTTTAAATTATTTCAAGTTTCGATGTAAAGCCCTTGATAGCAAAGTACATTAAAGGGACTATCCCACCTTCTAAAATGTTGTTAAAACCAGTATAATTGTGCCCGACTTTATAGATTGGATGACCAGGAACACGGTTCTGGCATTTATTTTTCGTTAAACATCTTAGGCTTCCCATATTCCAAACACAAACTTTCAAATATGTGACGTCACAGCCCAAAATTACCTCCTTCCCCAGGCCACATTACTGTCATAAAGCTGATTCTTTTTACTCTGTAGGCACCACAACAAAGTTCAGACCAAGTTTTAAGCGATTTTTCAACGAACAAACCCATTTAAATCAGAATGACTAAACGAGGTGACGTCACACTAACGGTCGACCCATGTTGAAGATAGGGCCTTGTACAAGGCCCATTTTCAAATGAAGGGAACGAATTTCTTCAACGCCAAGAGGCCGCGGGGGTTGCAACCTAGATAGATAGTGGTTTCTGAACCTCGCCGCAAACTTGGCTATCTCAACTCAAACCCCATGTTAAAGGTGGGATAGTCCCTTTAAGCCGATGAAGCCGATCTCATAATTTTCAATCGTAACAAACCATTTCAAAGCACTAATCAAACACAATCCGGATTGGATTGCAAAAATTGGAAGTATGTTGCAATCCAATCCGCAATCAAATCCTGTTTTTTTGGAATGGATTTCAAATCCAGGTGCAATCCACCAAAAAGGAATGCAATCAGGATTTTGCAATCCTGCAATCACAATCCTACCGATGCCTGACCAGCATAGATCAAGAATTAGCTATTGCACTATCATGTTTCTCCCCTTCAGTCGCTTCAAAAAATATTTTTACCTGGAAAGGTCAAGGTCAAAATTTGACCTCGGGTCAAGGTCACATGACACGTGGTGACCCAAATAGGTCATGTTGCATATCATTTGATGCGTCTCGACAAGACAAACACAATGGAGCCATCCCCAGCATTCTATCTCGTTCCAATTGAGTTATTGGCAAAAGGTCTGTTTGTAGCCTCACATGACCTCAGATGACCTTTTTAGATGCTATCAGCAAAAAAGACACCTTGGTCATAACAGGTGGTCCAAATACTTGTGATTCTGAAATATTTGGACTGTTCCTATGCGTATTCACAGATCTAGAGGCATTTTCATTTTTCTCCAATCTCCATGGACTTAAAGGGTGGAAAGTAATTACGCGAACATACTTTTTCGTCTTATAACAATGGAAAAAGCGGCGGTAACATGAAAATTTCATCTTTTCATATATTCCTATTTAGGTGCGATACACTGACAAAGGCGTTCAGGCATAATTGACATGAGCATGTCAAGCACTGTTGGCCAAAGCTTAGTCCACGCCTCCTGGAGCTGTCTGGTGAGGCAATCGATGTTGGTGGCTACTAGCAGCTCTTAGACGCTCTCCTGAAGAGTCGCCTGGATATTTTTGATCAAATTGAGGTCTGGGCTATTCCCAGATTGACCATTATATGCCCAGAAGAAGAACGGGTTCTCAAAGCACCAGTCTTGCGTCTTTTTGGCCGTGAGAGGAAGGACTTTATCAATCATGAAGAAGAGTTTCTTTGCGTCGGGCACAAAAGTGCGCTCAATCATTTTGCCCCTTTTGGTGCATTGATGGATTAGATAAAGAGACTCGTCTGGAAGGATGTTCCACTAGTTGTATACTTTATTTTTGGTGGCCTTGTTGGTCACTACATGCAATTCTGACACCATCCGGGCGCTCATAACACGCTGATGTGTGTTCCTTTGCCGGATGTTTGAAGGTTGGGACGGGCGGGACGTCGGACGCATCAGCAGCCCCCAACGCGTTGTTCTGCAGGTTTGACGGATGAAATAGCTTCGAAGATGTCTCACCCAACCACAAAGCCAGCTGCCTGTCCTCCTCTGTTCAGGTGTGGCGGTCTTTAGAAAACTTAAATTGACAATCCTGCTGTTAATTCATGAATTTTGGCCATCTCGATTGTTTGTACGGCTTGATTTTCGAATTTTCACGGATTTATGCATGAATCGTGATATCTTAGATCGGGTACCCGGCCAAAGTAAACCATTTCGCCTGTTTTCGGGTCGACTGTTGTCGTTTGGTCGCGGAAATGGTGACCACCCATTCGGCGCCTGAATTCGCCGAGGTTTTACTGCCGCCAACGGCTTTGCTTTTTAAGTCCTCTTAAGTTTTATTATGCTTCAACCAAAGGTGTAATTGAGTAATGCTGGTGCCGAGACCGTTCCGAGTCCCTTCCGCACCAATCCAGCCAAAATAATCACAAACGCTTTCCCTGGCAACTTCAAATTGAGCTCTTTGCCTATTTTGGTCTTGAGCAGCGTATGGCGTCAGCACCACTCGAAGCCGAGAGGTGTTGTAGACCTTTCAAGTCATTTTTCAAAGTAAGGTCACTTTTGTTAGATGAGGCGACAACAAACACGACCAGTCATGTTCCATAACAGCCCGCGCTCATACAAAATCTCCACTGACGGGCGAAATTGTAAGAAAATACATGTTCGCGTAATTACTTTCCACCCTGTATAATGGAAAGGTTACGCCACTGGCCTGACCTTAGGTCACAGATATAAAAAAAAATGATATACAAATTGTAGGTGCCCATAACATCATGCAATCCACCAAGTTTAGAACCTCTCTGACAAACACTGCAGGCTGGACATGATTGCAATTTTTTAGGCTTGGTCAGTTAACTTGACCTGGTGCCAGACTGGAAAACATCCATACACTACGCCGGACGCCTGTGAGACCATCTTGCGCCGAAATTCGGCGCAAGCGATTTTGCACCGAAATTTCTGTGTGATTTGCGCCAAAAATTAGGTGCCTATAATTCAATTTGTGCGAAAATTAAGCCCTTGTCATATAAAGCACATGTGCACATCAACTGATCAAGATTATATCAACCAGACAGAGTGTTTCGGAGCTTTGTACTCTCTCTCTCATGTTTGAGCGTCCTAATGAGTTTTTATTTCCACGTAAACCCAATACCTCGGCGAGAGCCTGCGAGGGCCAGGCAACGGAGCGGCCACCACTTGTCTGGGCACTGCTGGCACGCGGCGGAGTGGAGACAGCCGATTCGGTGCCGTACTGGAGCGAGCGGCCCCGGTGGCCCGTCCTCAGCTGGTGCACCGAAATGGCATCCTCTCGTTCCTCTCCGGGGATAGGGAGCGGCGGCGTGCTCCCGAGGAGTGGCTTGAATAGTGATTCTGAGCAGTTGTCGCGCCACTGATGCGAGGCCGCACAATGAACCGCCCTGGTCAGCGATCGGGCGTTTGAGGGCAGGGCGGCCGCCAGTTTTGCCAGGTCGTCCGCGCTCTCATTCCCCTCGATACCGCAGTGGACAGGAACCCTTTGCTATTGCTTTACGACGCTAGGCGACGTTCAAGGTTTTCCATACCTAGGTATCTCTACGCAGAAGGTTGAGGCCTCACCTGGGCGGCCGTTCCTCCGCTGAGTAGACTCAGGGAGGCTCGCCAGTTCGAGCACCCGACGACCGGGGCGGGGAAGTCTCGTCCCGCAACCTCTCCAGAGCCGCCCGTCGGGTGAATCTGCTGCTAAATTGACCAGCATACCGCATAAATTCGGTGACCGTCTTTCGCCAATAAATAATGCGCCGAAAAATTCGTCCGCCGCCATGCGCTGAATTCGGCGCATGCGAAGGTACGCCGGACGTGCGCTGAAATTTTCGGCGCAATCCCGCCACTACGTCGGACATATTCGGCGTAACGTGTATTTTTTCCAGTCTGGACCTGGTGACCTGACCAGTGACCTGATATGACCTGGGGTCAAAAATTTCACACATTGTCCAAAATTGATGTACAGCAAGTGGCGCTTTATTTAACATAACATATGCCCCCCCCCCCCCACACACACACACTGGGGCGAAGGTTAATAAACAGAGCCCCCGGCAAACAGTGCATAATAGAACAATATAGATAATACTCTATTGCTTGATTTTTTAACCCTCGCCCTGGCAGGGGGGGGGGGGGGTCGATGCGACCCCCCCCCCCTAAGGTTTTTCGCAGATAGCGTAAAAACGGCGGCGCGCAGCGCCGCCAAATTTGGCACAGCCTATGGGGCAACCTTTTTACATATGACCTGAAAATTTCAGGTCCGGGTGACCTTGGGTCAGGTCACCAGGTCAGAAAAACCGGTACAAGGTCATGGTCAAATTTCAATTTTCTTTTTGCACCTGTCCAACTCACAGTTTTGGACTGATTTCCTTCAAACTTTCAGGATGTGCTAAGTTCACCGAGTTGTATAACATATCGTTCGGGTTTTTCGAGGTCACTGACCTGAGGTCAGTTAGAGGTCATTACGTCGTAATGTTAAGCCTATGGGAAAATACTAAATTCGGAAAATACTGGAGATATCCGCTTCGTTCTATCTTTTTTGTGCTTTGAAACCACAGTACTTAACAGCAGGTCACTTGGTGCTTCTTTGTTTGGTGTACTTATCCATGGGTCAGGTCAAATGAGGTCAACTGAGGTCAAATGACGTTTTTGCCAATAACTTGGCACATAATGACGCTAGAGCTTAAAAAATGGTATCATTGTGTTCCTGGTGATCAGCCGAATCGAATGATATGCGATATGATGCAATTTGGTGAACTTGAACTTAATTTATTAATGTTTACTTAAAATTTAAGAAAAACTTTAAGTACACTTAAGCAAGCTAAAAAGTATATCATTCGACGCGCCTTGACGTGCTGAGTTCACTGGTGCTTTTCTTTTTGCTCTATCTTAATTAGATCAAAAGTTATAAGCGAAAAACTTTTGACCTGTTTTTAGCGAAATTTTTACATTTATACCCCCCAAAACCCCCCTAAATATTGACCTAGAGCAACCAAATTTGCACAGGGGCGAGAACTCCAGGGGGCCCACCTACCTACCAAATTTGGTGTTTCTAGGTGCCATAGGAGCCAATCGCGAGGGGGGGTCGCATCGACCCCCCCTGCCAGGCCGTGTTATGAAAAATGCCCTGCCAGGGCGAGGGTTAAGTAATATTTTCCTCGTCAATCCCACACTGAACTTATTTAATTAATGTTGACCTACTTACCAGACATGTGCATGGATCCCAGAAAATGGATCTGGGATCTGATCCCACGGATCCTGATCTCGGATCCGACGGGATCATAGATCCAGCTCTGCATTTTATCAAGGGATCCGTAGGGATCACAGATCCGAGTCTCATTTTTTGCTTCAGATCCAGTGAGATCATAGATCCTCACTTATTTTTTGTCAACACATATATCCCAAAAAAGCACTTGTTTCAACTCACAAACGTTCTGTTTTAGTGATTTTATGTGATCGGACGTCATAATCCATAGTTTTGTGTTACTTTTTGGCATAGAAACCCTTTAAAACATAGTTTCAAATGTGGTGCATGGTGGGATCCACTCAGATCATAGATCCATGTTCTTAATTTATCGTCAGATCATATGAGATCATAGATCCAAGATGTATTTTTCACGCCAGATCCGGTGGGATCATAGATCCCAACCTGTACTTTGTTTCGAGATCCACTGAGATCATAGATTCATCACTCGGATCCATGCACATGTCTGCTACTTACAGCATAAATTGAAATGCACTCTGATTCAATTTCAGCATGCGTTTACTAGATTGAGATAGATAAGCAGACTGTGACAAACGTCAAAGCAAAAAAGAGAACTTCCCATTCATACATCACCTGAATACGGCCTTGACAAATACCAATGCCAATGTAGAATACCAAAGCTTCTTAGAAATATTAAAAAAACGCAAAGTGACCTCTCTACAGACTAGGGGGACCTCTGTCAACAATACACAACGGGAATTTTCCACAGCGCCAGCCCTCGCCGCACCTACACTATTACTGTCTCAGAAAAATCAAGGATGTTAAAAATGAGGACAACACTATTCGACCGCTACCCTTGCAGCTATTCTATAACTCAGGAACAACTGAGCCGATCGCAAAAAAAAAAAAAAACACCAGTCGAATCAGCGTATGCAATTTCATTATTCGTTTTGAATATGGTGACCTCAAAAGACCTTGGTGACCTCAAAAAGGTCAACGCCGAAGTTAGTTGGTAGCACTGCTGCTCCACGGCGTATATACATTTCCTACCAGCCCATAGGGTTCACATGTTAAATGGCCTGTTTTCGGCGAGCGATATCTCGGTCAACCCTTGAAGGAATCAATGATTCTTAGTCTCAAATGATAGATCGATGAATTTTCTTTCGACAATTCCTCTACCATTTTTCACGAAACCCAGCCGATCTTCTACGGCGTACAGGGTAAAGATCTCTCTGCACGCCAGCACCCGCGATCCGCCTCTCCGATCGTCGGCGCGCGGTCCTCGGTAGCGCAGTCGGCAGCGTATCGGGCTACGGATCCGAGGGTCGTGAGTTCGAATCCTGGGAGCGCCGCGAGATTTTCGCTAGAATTGAATGATGTAGATTCTTGAATGTTTGCATAATCAATCATTAATAGCTAATTGAATGTAGGTATCTGCCCACTAATCGGCCCCTAAAACCTGTTATTTAAGAAATTTAAGAAATGAATGTCACGTGCGCGTCACGACTGCCAACCATAAGCGCTACCATATTCTAGTTTGAGCTAACTTTTTGCTAGTCTCGACCACATATAGTAGGTTTTCTAGTAGTTATACTAGAAATTCCTACCAAAGTTCGTCCAACCCTTCGCTCAATATACCCTGAGTCGATTCAGCGTATGCGATTTCATCAGCCGTTTCGAATATAGTGACCTCAGGTGACCTCGGTGACCTTGGGAGGTCACATGACCGTTGTGGCCTATTGAGTAGCCATTCACTGGTCACCTAAGGTCACGAGGTCACCATTTTCGAAACGGCTGATGAAATTGCATACGTTGAGTCGACATGGTGTTTTCGTCGCGATTGGCCCAGTACCTAGTTCCTGAGTTATACAATGGCTGCAATAGGCCACAACGGTCATATGACCTCCCAGGGTCACCAAGGTCACCTGAGGTCACCATATTCGAAACGGCTGATGAAATTGCATGCACTAAATCGACTTGTGTTTTCGTCGCAATCGGCCCAGTAGTTCCTGAGGGCTGAGTTATAGAATGGCTGCAATAGGCGAAAAAGTAAAAATGACCTTTAGAGGTCACCGAGGTCACCTGAGGTCACCATATCCGAAACGGCTGATGAAATCGCAGACGTTGATTTGACTGGTGGTGTTTTCCTCGTGATCGGCCCAGTAGTTCCTGAGTTATAGAATGGCTGCCATAGGCCACAACGGTCATGGGACCTCCCAAGGTCACCGAGGTCACCCGAGGTCACCATTTTGGAAACGGCTGATGAAATTACATACGCTGAATCGACTGGTGGTATTTTCGTCGCGATCGGCCCAGTAGTTTCGAACTTTCGAGTTTTAGAAAGGTTGCAATAGGCGAAAACGTAAAGTTGACTTTTTGAGGTCACCGAGGTCACCTGAGGTCACCATATTCTAATCGGCTGATGAAATCGCACACGTTGAATCGGCTGGTGGTGTTTTCGTCGCGATCAGCCCAGTAGTTCCTGAGTTATAGAATGGCTGCCAAGTGCCATAGGCCACAATGGTCAATTTAGGGTGTGTCATCAGTAACAGAACCAAATGCCGTAAAGAAATTCCTTGGCACTGAGACCTGCAAACACACGGCATAGCAACCGTTTTTGCAAAAAAATTAAAATTCGTGCGGCGCCAGCCGTTCAAAGTTTTGGCGCCCAGCGTTGCAGTCTCCAATGCTGAGCGTCACCCAGCACTACGAGTAACACCAAGTATTGCAGCAGGTAATAATGCAAAATAACTACCGCTGAAAATGATGCTTTTGAGCGCTTCTAAGGCTGATTGTTGCAAAAAGCATGTCATTAGAGTGTCCAATTACTGTTTTTATTGTGCTCAATGAATTAAATCGAGCATTGCTACTGAAACTAAAGAAAAAACTGATTTTGAGAAGCGGGCGGGGTGGAACTGGAGGCGGAGACGGGAAGTGACTCAGATTCGTCTTCTGAAAACACCGACTCCGTGGCATCCTCTGGGCGGTGCTTCTTCTTCTTCTTCTTCTTCAGCATGTCATCTCGTGTGACCCGGCCCGTCTCCACCAGGAAGTCCAGGCTCGGTGGAAAGGATCTCCCTCAGCGTCGGCAAAGGGCCCCACGGGCGGGTCCGTGGCCCCTGGTAGGCGGGGTAGTCGACCAACAGGTGTTTGGCCGAGTCCGGTTCGTCGCAACGGACTTTCTCGTCAGACTCGGCCGGACCAAGTCGGAATCGGGTGTCTCCGGTGAGTGGGGAGCAGCTCACGCGGAGCTGTGCCACTGTGATCGACGCTCGGCGGTCCAGTTCTCTCTCCGTGGCCCAGAGCGCCATATCGTCCGCATTCGCAGATGTGTACCTCCAGTTCCCGAGCCGCAGTTATAGCCGGTCATACGAGCCTGCAGGGTTAGCGTCCGATGGCTGCGTTGGTCCTTCAGGAAGACAGCCTCCTGCTGAGTGACTCAGTGGGCGATGAGACTTGTGCACCTGCTCTGAGAGTTGCATTTGCATTTGGCGATATCCAGGAGTTGTTGAATTATGCAGTGGCGGCGCTTTGTTCCTTCCTGTGTCTCTGGTGTTTTGTTCAGAAGTCTGTAGGGCTGTCTGTAGGGCTTATAGCAGTCCCTTTTGATCACTTTCGTCGTGTGTTTTACATAGATCGCGGACAGGGATTCCTTCATTAGTTCAGAGTTGCCTTGTCCTTTTTTCGCCACGGCCCTAAATGCACTATTTGTTGGATTTCTTCTTTGAGCACTCAGCCACCTGACATAACTGAAGGCCTCTGCTTTAGTCAGCAGTCGCTGTTGGGACAAAAGTGCCGGCTGTCCTATCACGAAATGTTTTGTACGCGGCCGTGTCACTTTCGGCAGGGCCCTATGCTATCCGGATCATAACTCACGAGGCGAAAAAAACGTAGCTGATTAGGAAATGCCCATACGACAATTATAGCACGACACAGGGAACCAGCAAAGCGCCGCCACTGCATAATTCAACAACTCCTGGATATCGCCAAATGCAAATGCAACTCTCAGAGCAGGTGCACAAGTCTCATCGCCCACAGTCACTCAGGAGGAGGCTGTCTTCCTGAAGGACCAGCGCAGCCATCGGACGCTAACCCTGCAGGCTCGTATGACCGGCTATAACTGCGGCTCGGGAACTGGAGGTACACATCTGCGAATGCGGACGATGTGGCGCTCTGGGCCACGGAGAGAGAACTGGACCGCCGAGCGTCGATCACAGTGGCACAGCTCCGCGTGAGCTGCTCCCCACTCACCGGAGACACCCGATTCCGACTTGGTCCGGCCGAGTCTGACGAGAAAGTCCGTTGCGACGAACCGGACTCGGCCAAACACCTGTTGGTCGACTACCCCGCCTACCAGGGGCCACGGACCCGCCCGTGGGGCCCTTTGCCGACGCTGAGGGAGATCCTTTCCACCGAGGCTGGACTCATCCGGGACTTCCTGGTGGAGACGGGCCAGGTCACACGAGATGACGAGATGACATGCTGAAGAAGAAGAAGAAGAAGAAGGAGCACCGCCCAGAGGATGCCACGGAGTCGGTGTTTTCAGAAGACGAATCTGAGTCACTTGCCGTCTCCGCCTCCACCCCGCCCGCTTCTCAAAATCGGGCAGTTTTTTCTTTAGTTTCAGAAGCCATGCTCGATTTAATTCATTGAGCACAATAAAAAGAATAATTGGACACTCTAAGGACATGCTTTTTTGCAGCAATCAGCCTTAGAAGCGCTCAAAAGCATCATTTTCAGCGGTAGTTATTTTGCATTATTACCTCCTACAATACTTGGTGTTACTCGCAGTGCTGGGTGACGCTCAGCATTGGAGACTGCAACGCCGGGCGCCAAAACTTTGAACGGCTGGCGCCGCACGAATTTTAATTTTGGTGGACTCGGATATGGATGAAAATTCATTATTGATCAATGTGCCAAGGAAAAACCTTACGGCGTTTGATTCTGCGAGAATCACCCCCTCGATGACACACCCTAAGTCTGTCATTGGCCATGTGACCTCCCAAGGTCACCGAGGTCACCTGAGGTCACGATCTTCGAAACGGCTGATAAATCGCCCCCCCCCCCCTGATTCGAATGGTGTTTCGTTCGTTTCGATCGGTCCAGTAGTTGCAATGCCCCAAAACCACCGCGAACAAATGTCAATAGTCCCGTTTACAAAGGGCTACTTAGTTGCCAGATAGTGGAATTCCGATACCGAGACATTTATTTATTTCACATTACAGACTTGTCCGCGGAAACACGGCTATTCTATGTCCAAGTTGTTGTACATATACCTACAAATCGAATGGGATATGACAACAGTCACCGCAATCATTCACACATTCACCCTCAATACGTGTGCTGACTACTATGAAATCGTTTTTTTCTATGGTGCTTCAAGGATTATAAAATGGTAATGGAGATTATTGAGGATATGATCTCTACATTACAGGAATTCGCTAATTACTACGGCCCATAGGGGCACCGCCGGAGCTGTTGTTTTGCCATCGGTCCCAGGCAACTCCAGGGAGCTGCAGTACCCGGCGGCCAAAGCGGCCCACCTCGTCGACTCGCAGGTCCTGTGGGATTCCGTGATGCTTTAGCGCTTCACCCACAGAAGCACGGGCAATGGCATAGCAGTAGGATGTGGGGCTAGGTGTCTGTCCACCTCTTCATTGAAAGAACAACGTATACAGCGCCTGGTCCCGCCGAAGCTCGGTATCGACCGTGACTTATTCACAACTGGCGGATCCAGGAAGCGG